TTCTGTTCTTGACAACATTTTGAAATAAAGAAAAAGTAATTTAATTAAAAACTTTTATTTACTATTGAAATGTTCACCTTGAAAAAAATACGTATTTTTTGAAATTCATAGGATTTTAGTCAGCGAAGATTTTTTTTCACGAGGAAAGGATTCTTTGTAACTTAATAGTTTTAAGCATCAACATAAATAAACTGTAATAAAAATATTATTTTTATTAGCATATTGGCCAGTTCGCTCAATATTATAAGTTCCAGAGAATTCCTCATAACCATACACTGTATAGTAACGAGTTACTTTATTTGATGCTTATATGACGTTTATTTGGAAATTTTTTAAATATCTAGATACTACAGAAAGTTCTGAAGATTCGCATCTCAATATGTCTTTACAGATGGTGGATTAAAAGCTCTTCAAATAACCGAAGCAATTATATACTTAATCGCGAAAGATAATGAACCATTCACTATTGTTGAAAAGGAGGGATTCAAGAAATTGATGAAAATCATTGTTCCTTTGTACACACTGCCAAGCCGAAAGACAATTACAAGTCTTGTTGATGATAAATATAATGCTCTTTCAGCAGTTATACGAAATAAGCTTGCAACAGTTGAATATGTGTCAATAACGGTGGACATTTGGACCGACACACTCAACACTAAAAGTTATCTGGGTACTACAGTTCACTTTGTGTCGGAAGATAAATTAAAATCAGCTACATTAGGCCTACTTCCTCTTGCGGATAGACACACTGGGGACAATATCGGTCCATGGATTTCAGAAGTAATCGAGAAATGGAATATAAAATCAGCCAACGTTATTGCTTTCATAGCCGATAATGCCTCAAATATGTATAAAGGTATTAGCGACACATTTGGTTCCCATCGATTCATGCCTTGTTTTGCCCATTCACTCAATCTCGTAGCTACAAAAGTAATTGCTGATAGCGGAATTGATTACTTACTTGTAAAAGTTAAAAGCATCGTAACATATTTTAAACATTCTGTTTACGCGTCTGACAAGTTAAGACAAAAAGTCGACTTGAAACTCATACAGAGTGTACCAACAAGATGGAATTCTTGTTTTTATATGCTTGAGCGATTTATCGAATTATCTCCACACGTAGGATCAATTTTATTAGAAGCAGATAATTCCCCTGATATGTTGACTGCTTCCGAGTTGCGTGTTATACGCGAATTTGTGAAACTTCTTCGTCCATTAGAGCAAGCGACTAAAGAGATTTGTGGTGAAGCCTACTCTACTGGCAGTAAAGTGATTCCGTTAGTGAATTGTATCCAACAAAAAATTGACAAAATGGAGACGCAAACGTCAGAAGGCATTAAAATGAAAGAATTGTTAAAGTCTGCAATGAATCATAGATTTAAAGACATTGAAAATAAACCGTTACTTGCAGTCGCATGCATCCTTGATCCCAGGTTTAAAAAATTACATTTCAAGAATAAACTTGCAGTATCGTCAGCAATCAGGAAGATAAAGCAGGAACTGTTAGTAAACGGGGCTTTAACGAGGTTTGAAAACGATCTCATAGTGGATGACCATAATGCTGAAGAAGACGAAGATTTGTGGTCGTGTCACAAACAGTTGTCGGCGGCGAACAATAAAACGCGACAAATTCTATCCTCTGATAATGGCGATATGCCAATTTCTTTAAAGCATTATTTAGATCAACCGACTTCAAGTCTTCATGTCAATCCCATACAATTTTGGACCAAAGAGGTAGGCGGCACATACCCGCATCTGAAAGAATTGGCGATGCGTTACCTTCCACTTGTGGCAACGTCTGTACCATCTGAGAGGCTTTTCTCGAAAGCCGGTAATATAATTACTGAGTCCCGAAATCGTTTAAGTCCCAAGCATCTACATGAACTTTTATTTTTAAATTCACTCTCTGAAGATGAATGGAATCTATAAATAATTTTATTGCTTTTCCAATTTGAGTAGGAACTAATTCTTTGTATGTGGCTTCTTTTTTGAGAATTCCATTCATCTTCAGAGAATCTCTTTAGAAACCCCTTAAGAGAATTAAGAAAGTGTACTATCATTAAAACAATTCCGCTTGACATGTGCAAAGATTTGTGACAACTATAAAAAATACATAACTTTTTTTGTTAAAAATTTGATTTCGATAAGTCGTATCCTGTAAGTTACGCTAAGATGAATATTACAATTAAACTTTAAACAAAACTTAATCTAATTAATTTTACTGTAACACCCGATATTTTACCGCTCAATGATTGGTATTTTTTTAAAAATCGTACATAGTGATTAGAATTACTTAGACCGCCCGAATTGTAGAAAATCGATTGAGTCTTTTTTTTTTTTTTTTTTTTTTTTTGT